GGGGGGGGGGGGGGATTTCGCGCGCTGGCGGGAGGCGCGCTGCCAGGGGCTGGAAGCCGCCGGGGGGTTGAGAACCGCGGGAGGTTTGTTGTTTTGTTTTTGCTTTTTTTAATTTCTAACTTTTTTCACTTTTTATTTTTCTTTCAGATTTTGAGGAGACCCGTTTTCGGGTGTCTTCTCCCCGAAGCATGTGGGGAGTGGGCGTTTCTTTTTCCTTTGAGACGGCAGATTAAATTCTTCTTTGCTGACGTGAGTCCAGGAACTGGGAGCTTGAGATTAAACTTTTGTTGATGGATGCCTATTGTCCTGAACAGATTGTGGCTTCAACTTGCGACAATGTCAGGCATGAAGACGTATTGGCAGTAACTGCCTCAGCTTTTAACCTAGACTTGCTACACCTTGCATAGACCTTACCATTTTTGACATTTTTATTGGTTACATTGAGTGTTTCCATCTTACATTCTGCTTGCTTTCTCATACATCTACTATTTTCTGTGAAACGTATAGCAGTACTAATGCTGGGTGCCTCAAGCTTAAACGTTGCTGTTACTGTACAGCCTAAGTTTTGGTGCCTAAGTTTTAAGCCTAAATTGTCTAGGCTTAAATTCATTTACATATCCAAAGAATTTATGCTGTACTACATATATTTTCAGCTCCTAGATCTTTCAAAATTTGAATTTCCAGAAAAAAGTTATAAACCTGCCCATTAACATTAAATTGAATATTCATCTTTTCTGTTTTTCTAAGCTGTATCTAAAAACTAAAATAGATTAATAGAAGTGCTTGAGATTAAAAAAAAAAAAAAAAACAACACAGATACTGAGTATTTTGCAGAGAAATGGCGAGCTTTACGCATGTTTTTGAGAGATGTTGCAGGCAGGAATCACAGAAAAAGGGGGACAGTTGCACCTCTTAAGTGTCACGTATATAAAAACTCGCTGATACCCCGCTAAAAATATTATTTTGTACACCTTAAAAATAATATCTAAACTCTGATACTCCGATCATTAAAAATCATTTACGGATTAAAAAGCAGAAACGTTCTCTTTTATTCAGCAAGGCATGCAAACTTGCCTGTGTCCCCTAGATAGTGCTATAACTGAAAACAGTTGTAGTTGGGCGGATAATAAATACTCTCTCAGGATTGTGTTTAGCTGTGTAAAATGCTGCGTCAAATATTCCTCCTGCCTGATGTCACTAGAGGGAGCAGCTTCAGTTCACGAGCTTGCAAAGTCCCTGGAACAAAGGCGCAGGAAACAATAGCTACCCTGTTTCCCCTTTACCATTTATGTCTCTAGATCCTCTCCCTCTAAACGCGTTGGAAATGTGGTTAGTAACTATCGTGAGTGGTTCAGGGTATATGTAACCCGAGTCCTTGAGGAGTTTCGCCCCACAGATTTTTCAGGTAATTCCACATCAAAGTGCAACTTCAGCTCTTCTAAAGTTTTTGGGCCCAGTCCTCCTCTGGAATAACGACAGAGTATTGAATGTGGCAGGCTGGCAGGAGTAAAGGATTTAGTGCTCTGTTACACTCTTCCCCTCCCCCCCAGGCTATTTTATTACCTCCTGAGCTGCACACTGCACCTGGAATGGCCTTCCTGCTGCTGTGTGCTGCCACAGCACCCATTTTCCTTCAGACTCCCCTCAAATCCATCTCTTTCCGTGATTTTCTGGACAATTTTTGGTTTTATTTCCACTGACTTCCGTGGGGATGGCAGGAGGATGAGGCCTTTTGGTGTGCCCGTACTTGTACCACAGAGACTTTCTGGCCTGGTAAAAGAGCCTCAGAAAGCCCCTGGCAGTGCAAGATAGAGCACCTTTGGGGCTGATCTAAGCTCTACTGGGGACCAGAGTCATCTGAGCACTATCAGAAGAGATAGAAAGATACTTATTCTGCTTTCCATAAGGCAACATAATACAATACAATAAGCACTACAAACATTTCGGGTAATGTATTGTGTGTATTTATCAACCCCTACCATGAAAGGAAGAACGCGAGAAGCGCGTGCCCTGGGTATTAGGAAGAATGATACATAAGTGGCCAGGTCAGCTGTAATTGTATAAAGTGCCTGGAGGAATCATCTGTATAAGTCCCTAAATGAAATATAATATGTTCTGTATATGTTACCAGAACCTGACATGAAATAATCTTCTCTGAAACAGTTTTTCTCACTCTGCAACAGACAGTCCCTTGAATCCATCAGTGAATGCAGCCGACTTGCTTTATCACAGGTAAAAAGATTGATGGAGGCGAAGGGATTTGTTGAGTTGAAGGGCAGTTCCTCAGGCACCTGTGGATCTGGTTGCAAAGCAACCCATGAATCCAGCTGAAAGCTAGTGCTTTTATATGTGCCAGAGTCACCAGGGTGGGATTCATCTCCAGAGTCAGATACCCATATCCAGACAGTATGGTGATCTCACCTATGTTTAGGTGTCTTATTCTCAAAACGAATCCTAGCTCCCAGCAGGGGAGGAGGATGGGGTCCTCTGCTCTGGAGTCGCGCTCGCTGGACCCGGAGCAAGGTAAGGGAGCGCTGCTTGCCCTCCACTGCTACCAGCGCGTGCAGAGCAGTGCTCGGCCCACACTTCTGCACCCTGCTCTGCCCCAGCTTGTGGGATCGGTTTGGACCCCCAGGACTAACATTTTGACACCCTCTTCCCAGGCCAGCTAGAGCTGAAAGGGAGTCAACAGGAACCGTCGCTCCTGACATCAAAGTAACAAGAGTTAGGGCTAAAAATAACTGCCTGTTGTTATTCATGACAGTGCCCTATAGCAGCTGCTCTGGTGCTTGTGTGAATAATTAATTGGAACAGGTCAGGCCGGAGAGAACAAAGGGATGAAGAGAGATGGAGACTGCAGCAGTAACCGAGCTGTGGCAGAAGCTTCTCTGCCTCTGTCCTGGGGCAGAGGAAGCAGCATGACGCTCTCAGCGTAGAGTCTACAGCTGTCCTATATCATGTAAGCACTGCAGTGGCCCTTGCCTATCCCAGAGTCTTGGAGCACGCTGCACCAAATAACGAAGGCTCACAAAAGGCCTTCAGGATGGGTACACTGTCTCTGTCTCACCCCGAGGCTATGGGCTTGTGAGCAAGGGGCTTTGGTGACGATCCTGGAATGGCCATCCCTGCTAGCCTCCTCCAGGGTTGTCTCCACTCTCATGAGAGACAGTGATACCCCAGTGTGCTACACAGGGAGGCTGTGAGTGGGCCAGTTCTCCGGGCCGGCTCACGACGTGGCGAAAAAACCACACTACCACATGGAGTGGGGAGGAGACCTTCCACCTTTAGCTCATGTTATTAGCAAAGACTTTCTCGGATAAAACCAAGTGGAGGAGAACCACACAAAACACACATCTGCCAGGGGTCACTTTCAGCCAAGACAGCCAAACAGGGCTTCTTAATTTTGCACCGGCTAATTCTATAGCTATCAGGAAATTCCAGATTTACCATAGATAACATTAAAAATAAACAAGCATTTTGAGAAGAATTAAAATGAACAACAAAACCAAGTGCTCGTTGCTGGGGCTTGTGCAAATCCCTACCTTTTAGTACTCCCTAGGAGAATTTCTAAGGACAGATCACCAGGCAATTCTCTCTCATATGTCCTGTCACACTTCAGCTGTTATTAGGAAGAGTGAAGCACAGATCCATAATGATATTTAGGCACCTATTATCCACTGAAAACAATGGGAATTAAGCACTTAAATACATAGAAGGTCTGGGCTGCAGAGCTCAGATCTTAGCAAGGCTTTCATTAATTCTTTAATCAATTAACGAAACCCTGAAAGAATCAAGAGTGGGTGTAGGAATAAATTCCATGGATGAATGACACACAAGCGGTGTTGACCAGAATATCTTAACTGTTCCTAGTTACAGCTTGGTAGAAATGGGCATTGATAGCAGTTACATCTGCCTGTCAGGCAGTGACCAGCAGTGGAATTTTTGCCTGCTCTGCTCTGTTCTTGAGCCTTTACGGATAATGTGAAGGGGTAACGTGTTCTTGGCAGGGAAAGTGGAGATGCAATAGCATAACATTGCAAAG